CTCCTTCCTTTCAAAATCTGTCCTATAAAAAAGACTGAAACTACAATTTTTTCATGACAACTAAAATTGTTAAAAAAAAATTTCAAATTGATACAACTGGTAAGGTTTATTTACATTTTAATTCGACTTCTCTCTTGTATTTGGCTAGGACTTAATTAAATGCAAACAAGTAATGAGCTGTATAATTTTATCAGTGAATCATATAATAAAACAGTTATTGCTGTTTTTGAGGTCAATACAATGATCTAGCCATCTGAGGAGTACAATATTCACCGAGCCCATGATTTAAATCATTGTATTGACCTCAAAAACAGCAATAATTGTACAATATCTTTCACCACTTTAGGTATATTGATTATCTGTGGAGGGCCCTTATACTCACTGGCCACATCCCAGCCATACATGTACTTATCTGCAATTCTTATAACTTTTTTCCAGGTATTTAATATGAAGTCCAGCTTTCTGATTATTTTGTTAGCATTCAATACATCACTTAGTCAATATATTTATCAATACTTTAAAAGTCACTTTGTAAATCTGTTAAAAACTTGTACCTTTCTTTGTCATGTTTCGACTTGAAATCAGCAGAACTTTCTCTGAAAACGAAAGTTGAAATTTTGACTTCTAACTCCTTTATGTTCTCGGCAAACGCTGCATCTAAACTGCAGGGGCGTAGACAGGTCCTCATTCAAAATTTACGAACGTTTGCGGGTAAACTCATTGTTGTTGGACGCACCTCTATTTTGGTCGTGAGTAACACATATTCCCGGACTACCGCGTGGAGATTGCTCGCCACCGTCTGAATCGGACATCTTTAAATCTAACTGATAAGTCGTGGCTAACTTTTGTCGAATGACAAAAGAACATATAAAACACGAGTTTAAATGCCCTTAAACCGAATAGACCCCAAAAGATATCTAAATTAGTAAAGAATATAGGTGAGATAAATAGATAATACCAACGTCATACGTACTAATTCGATAACCGAATCAACACACACGCCTCCCCGCACACCAAAGCAACCAGATTCGACCCCCCTCCAGGAACACCAATTTGCCCCCAAAACATTATTAATGTTACCGAAAAGAAATTTATAGGCAAGCTTTTTGAAAAGCTGTTACTTGTATAACATAATTATACTTAATTGGTAGCTTATTGCTAGCTCTCAAAGAATTATTTGCAATCCCCTCTATCGTAAATATATTAAGAGCAGAATCAGATGTAACTCACCCAAATCAGCAATGTTTTCTTGATTATTGTCTGTTTAAATTATTGCGTTCTTTTCTCCTCTAGCACGCCCATTGGAAATACTTGGGAAAACACCCGGAAGTTTAACTTTCGATTTAGTATTGTACATAGTTTAACTGACTTGCCTGTCTGATATCTGCGATATACATTTCGTGCGACAGGGAATGTCAGTCTAAGAATTTAGAAGGTGGTTAAGAGTTGACCTATTGGCTTTATGTAACATAATTAAAAGCTAAATATTTAGTCGATTTCTTTCTCAAAAAATTCATTAATGTCCCCATCAGGCTAAACCCTCTAACAAGCAGATGAAACGCATCAATCAGCATTTTTTTCTTTTTTTCCTGTGTAAATTACTAGTATTGCGTTCTTTTCTTTTCTTTTTACCCGCCCCTTCGAAATAGCCCCGAAAGTTACACTTTCGGTTTAGTTAGAGAGGTGGATTTAAGAATTTTGGAGGAGGGTCAGATTTGAGCTTGATGTTAGATCTACAGTAGCTAAGATAAATACATTATATTATAAGGATGAATGATAGAGAAAAATGTTTGCTACCAATATTTAACCACGCTTACTGAAGAGTTAAAAAAAATACGTGTCATTGCAATTCTAAAGGACATACACAACATACAATTATACGTGTACACACAAACTGTCATTGTCGCAGGCCATGTTGAAATAGAATGGACACAAAACCGGTTTTCAATCGCATCATCTCGGGTCTTTCCGTCAGAGATCGGAAAAACAACCTCGAATGTATTAACATCGCCGGATGTTAAAAATTTATACATTTCCTGTTTAGTCAAATATAGGATAGGGGGAGTTAGAAGTCCCTTTTATAGTTTATTTTAGGTAAAATCATTACATTGAATAATGTTAACTTCATATTCCACAGATAAAAGGTCTCCATGCATTTATTTCATAAATCGTGAAAAAGGAGGGTTGTCATGGCGTCTACCATATACATTCGAGGTCGTTTTTCTGCTAGTCGGAAAGGCCCGAGAAGTTGCGATTGAACCGGGTTTGTGGAAATAGAATTGACACAAAACCCGTGGCTTGCGACGATGACAAACTCTATATTGTACATTCTCCAATGATAATTTTCTAAGATATTCTCGATTTTTAATCATAGTATTATAAGATAAGTTTTAGCTTGTATTGCCCCAAAAGAAATTGATTCAGAGGAGATGTATATAATTACCATGCAGGCATCATTAAATCGCAAAGTAATCCTTTAATGATTGGAACTTTTAATTATGCAAAGAATGAGAAATTAAAGTTAAACAGGTAGATAAGTAATTTATGTTGAAAACTATACGTAATGTACATCGCATTACGCTTCAAAGAAAGATAAAGACTTTCAATGGCTTTTATTAATCCTCTGTACTCACAGATTTGGGGCATTTGTTTCTGTCCTGTCCGTCCGTCTGTATCTCTGTCCGCAAAAACTATAATCTTGGCAATAACTTTTGAGTTGATGGGGCTATAACTACTGAGCTAAACCCATATGTTCTGCCTTTGAAGTGTTTCTTTATATTACAGTATAGAATCATGTTTGCTGCAGCTAGCACAATTTTGAAACGAAAGTAACAGGCATGTAGCAACAGGGAGGGGAGGCTGTCATTTTTTAGCTCTACTGGTCAGAGACCAGAAGAGCTTATGCGATAGTAATGCGTCCGTCGTCCGTCCGTCTGTCTGTCTGTCTGTCTGTCTGTAAACAATTTTTCAAAATGCTACTCCTCCTACAGTTTTGATCCGATTTCAATATAACTTGGCACACAAGTAGACTACACTCAGATACATAATTCTGTGCATCGGTTTTTGATTTCGATGAACGGTGTTGCCGAGGTTACTAAAAATAGAAATTTCTGTGAAATTCTTTCAAAATGCTACTCCTCCTACAGATTTGGTCCGATTTCAATATTACTTGGCACACAAGTAGACTACACTAAGATACATATTTCTGTGCATCGGTTTTTGATTTCGATGAACGGTGTTGCCATGGTTACTAAAAATAGAAATTCCTTTAAAATTCTTTCAAAATGCTACATGTACTCCTCCTACAGTTTCCGTCTGATTTCAATATTACTTGGCACACAAGTAAACTAAACTGATAAAACCTCATTGCATCGGTTTTTGTTTTGATGAGTGTCAAGGATCATTTATCTATTTATTGCTGTTTTAAAATTTCAAGTCGCAACTGCTACTTTTATCTTCCTTTGTTTTAAGTATAAACCAGTAGAGCTACAGTCTTGACAGAGACTTCTGGTTCTCTCTGATTAAAATGCAATTTTTAAAAATCTTTAACGAAAGGTCTCTGACTTCTTTTTAATAAGGTCAAAAAAGGATGATGTAGTAGTGTATGAATAAAATTTTGGTAAAAAGAGTCATGGAATGTTACCCCCACGCTACAAAATAGGATAAATATCTGGAAAATTTTGCCAGTTGTCCTTTTTTGTCTTTTTCTCTATTTTTGCTTGTGAGGTTTTTATTTTCAGGTAAGTTGATTTTTCTGGAGTGAAGCGAACCGAAAACCCTTCAACATACTTAATGTATATTGGATAAACGCCACAACAGCCTTGTTTGTGACAGTATCTCATTATCTCCTATAAAAATAAAGACGATTATATTATTATCAAAATAACCTATTCTATTTTCTGTTTTTTTTCTAATAATTCTATATTCAACACAGTATTTTAATATCATGTTTGTTTTTGAAGATAGAAATGTTCAGCTCCTTGAAAATCCGTGTTTGACCTCTTTGTAACAGCCAATCATATGTTACAATACAGGTATAGAGCCTATCACCATAAAGAAACATGGAATATATATATATCCATATGACAAAGCTTCCATATGTGTGAAAAACTAGTTGTTATGTTAGCGTTTGCGGCAGTGCGCGCGTTGGGCACCTGGCTTGCCTCGCGACGACTGGAATGACACACGCGGCTTCACGAGCGAAATTTCATTTTTATTCAATTTTTAGATTGATTTTTCGGGAATAAGTGGATTAAAGGTAAGCCAAAAAAGGGGGGTAGGTCTGTGGCAAGGTGTGATGTACACCTGATCTTGAGGTACATCAGTACTATTTCACAAATCATACTCACGTCGAGGTGTCGTAAAGATAATATTGATCGAAATTACATATATGCTTTGTTTTACTCTGCAAGTAAAATGTTGATTTTCGTGAAAAGAAAAAAGTAGAAACTATATGCCTCTAAAATCTTTAAAATAAGACCTGATATTGTTTTTTTTAATTGAGCGATTGTATTTAATGCTAATTAAATGTCACCCTTTATGTAATATAATATGAAGATATTTTTATTATGTTTAAGTATTTTTTGCCTTTGTGTCTTAGGAAGTGGGAAGCTTGGAGTATTTATAATGTCATAAATTGGTTTTTACTTTAAAGAAAATTTAAGGTAGGCAAATTGTTGCAGTGTACATATGTTTTGAATTAAGTCGACATTGATTATACATTTTTACTTACATTAATTTATTGATGTGTCTGTTCAGGTGGTCATCCCTGTTCCGTACATGCGTTAAAGATCCACATTCAATTCAGCATTGTATAAGTTATATATTTATATTAAGTTGTTTAATTAAAAGGATGATATTATTGTTTTTAGGATGATTGTAATCGTTTGTGGAATTTACTTTATTCATTCATCTCTAGATTCTTATATATTTTAACTTAAAACTGATAGGGGTAAAAATGATTTTGCTTTATTTGTTTGTAAAACACAATGCTATAAAAAATGGGGGACAAACTCCTTTTTCATGTACGTTTATATAAATGTACGTTTTTCAGACACTTTTTGGTATTGGCAAAAATTCAAAGCGCTGTGATCAATGTTTTAAATTTAACTACAGAATGATTATCGCACGTTTTCAGCTGTCGTTGATGTCCCTGGCTTACTCAACAAAATAGACAGTGAACATGATTTCTTAAGTAATACTATCTTTTTTCTATAAATCCCTTTAGATACCATTTAACAGTACAGTTATATTGAATTTCCAGGATAGACGTTGATGCAAGGGGAAACGATAAGTTTTAATTAGTAGTTATAATAGATTAACTGATTTTATAATACACTACAAGGTAATTCAACAATTTAGAAAACTTTTTGTCAGGTAATGAAGTTATCCATTTACTTACCACAAAAACAAAACAAGAACTGAGAGTGGACCTTCAGAACTTTTCAGGCAAAAAAGCATTTGCCAAATATTCGACATTTTCCATTGGAAGCGAATCACAGAAATATAAGTTGAAAGCTGGTGGTTACAGTGGAACTGCAGGTAATTAGAACTTAACTTAATTACAAGAACATTACGTCTATTATTTTTGATTTTGATTCATGAAAAATACTCACATACAGTGAGGCTGTCGAGAGCTATTGGATAAGACTATCATTTGGTAATTATAAAAAATATTGTATATTAGGAAACAGCTTAGAATATCACAATGGGAGAAATTTTTCCACGAAAGACCAGGACAATGATTCGTCTGGTAAATCCTGTGCTATTATAAGAAATGCTGCGTGGTGGTTTGGATCTTGTGATAACTCTGACCTTAACGGCCCATACCACAAGTCTGCTGTCAAAACGTGGGCCAGCGTTCTTTGGTACAAGTTTGGCAACGAAGAGCGTTCCATGAAGTTTGCAAGAATGATGATCAGACCCAAAAGTTAGAAAAGACCAATTTGATTGAATAAAAATCTTTATGAGTTTTATTTATTCATTATCTTCTGATGTTGGCTGTTGAAAGTCTTAAGATAAATCACATCCTATTTATCAGACAAACAAGGGGCAAATGATATTTGCATAATGCTTTAAAATACAGTCGTTTGGCCAGTTCCGGATTTTGACCAGTTCCGAATAATTCTTAATTTAAGAGCTGATAATGAATACATTCAAAGGTGTAAAAATAAATCGATATCTATGGTAAGAACGCTTATTTATGAGTGTTTGAATTATGCGAAGTTTCGATTTTTTTTTTTGCAGTTCGGTTTCGTTATCGTACTTGAAAGAGTCGACATACTTTTACAATGCAACAAATCTGAATCACCATGACGCGTAACCTCTGAAGAGACACCAGTTTTTCACATAAAACAACATTCCGGATATCAAAAGTGAGTTTGATATGTACTCTAACAAATACATAAAACTTGTCTGAGATAAATATTTAGAACACTGGAAGATATCGGAATATTTTCGTGTTGTCATTTTACTAGTTCCGAATACCCATTTTAAACACTATCATAAATTCATTCTTCGTTGTTTTCTTCATCATAAACATGACGTATCATACCCCTGCTTGAAAAGCAACAGGGGGAAGGGGTATATAGTGATGGGATGTTTGTCCATCCATCCGTCTAGCTGTCTGTACGTCCGTCCGTCTGATACGCTTTGGGGTACCCATTTCTTATCCACAACTCCTCTTCTACCACTGAATGAAATTTAATGAGGCTTCACAGAATTTAATGAGGTTTTCACAGAATCTTTGTTAAATAGTACCAAAATACACCTATTTTTTTTTTACCTGGCACATAATGGTGGTTCCCTTAGCATTACATGATACTGCCATTCTCTCTAGTCCATCTCTTATCCGCATTTCCTCCATTCCAATGAATAAGATTTAATGACACTTTCATAGATTCTTTATTACATTGTGCCATTGTACATGTGACCTCTTATTTAACTTTTTGATCTGACACTTATTTTGGGTCTTCCAGAGCAAAACATGGACTTTTTCACAATAATCATATAGGAGGCGTCGGGTATCATTAAAGCGTGCCCAGTGCTCACAGTTCCCCTAGTTTCTCTTTATTTTTTGGAAGTACAAAAAACTTATTGGTAAGCAATTAATTTAACTTTTCTTAGACATGCCAATGGATAATGTGTGGGGTGTATATTTTTAGATTTAGGGTTGAATTGAATGGGTACCGCTAGGGTATTCGGAACTCGTCGGCTTATTCGTAACTGGTAAAATGGACACTTATGTTAACCTGCGAAATAAATTTTTTTGAGGGGAAGGCTGAACTTTTATGAAACAGTATTTAATTCCACAAGTGATTGAACTACCTTGACAAAAAAACTTAGATTTTGAAATAAAGCCTCGTATATTTATAGCATCGCCGAATCCGTTTCTTATTCGGAACTGGTCAAATAACTGTATAGAACAATTCTGAGAGAGCAGATAATACAATTACTCATGGAGAATGTTATTTTGCCTGTGTGGAGATGGGCTAAACATAAAGAAAGATCTTGAAACTGGAATGGGTTAAAAATATCAGATGAATGGTGTAATCTTGCATTAAACGGTTGAGATGCAATATAAAAAGACATATTTTCAGTATCAGTAATTTTTATAAGAGAAACACTTAGATATATACATGTATTACACAATCAATATGTACTGTTAATTCCAAACTGACAAAACAAAGAACAACTTTGTCTTTACTTGTAAATTTTAATTGTACTTTAGAGGAACTTTTGATTTAATTTTGAAAGTGGTAATCCAAATAATATTTATAACTCCTTTTCTAAGGAGGAAGTTCTTTAAAATCATATGTTTATATTAAATATTTTCTCGACAATTACATTGAATTTGAATTACAAAACGTATATTAGATTTCCAAACATCATAGAATCCTTATAAAGATTAATTGCGGGTTTCAGTAGATACTCTAGATCTAATAAGCTTCTTTCTTTATTACCAACCAAAGTATTGACATCAATAAAGAAGAATTTTCAGGAGTTTTTAAAAACATATTTAAGAAGTGTCACTTACAGAGCGATGCTCCAAGGAAATTAAGAACAAATTAAATATCAAAATTTCACCAAAATCAAGAATACCAAAACGCACGATAATGCTCTACATAAACGTGGGACGGAGCGGATCAGAAACTCTTGACTTGGGAAGATGACTCCTACGTTGACTCCATATATATGGCACGCCAAATTCACAAAAAATGAGCTAAACATATGTTTCACAGTTGATAAAATAGATTTATTGGCGACTGTAAACTATGGTTTACAAACCGTGAACTATAGTTAACAATTCGTAGTTTTCATCGGTAAAACTATATTTAACGGTTGTTAACTATAGTTTACGAATGCTAATCTAAGTTTATCTGTCTGTAATAAGATATTAACTATAGATTTTGTTGATAAACATAGATTCACGTCTGTAAACTATAATTTACAATCGTTAAATATAGTCAAGAGTTGTCAATCATAGTTTACAAATCGTGAAACTGTATTTATCAGATAATCTATATTTTGCAATCGCAACTGATTGTTTTCAGTGTTAAGTATAGTTTACGGTTATGAAACACAGATTATCGCGTTAACTATGGTTTACACATGTAAAATATGGATAAACGTTAAATATAGTTTAGAGTCCGTAAATTATAGTTTACAACCGATAAACCTAGTTTATCGACTATGAAACTATGTTTAGCTTATTTTTGTGAATTTGGCGTGTCATACATACAATGTAAATCTCTTTGAACTCGAAATAAAAAGACATAACATGGTCTAACACGTGCACATGTTTCAAATTTGGAAACTTTACAAGAAAAGGACATCATTGGCAACCTAACAACAGAACTTTACGATGAACGTGATGCCTTCATATTTTCTATCGTCAACTTCCCTTTTTATATGTAGTAATACATGTATACCAGCATTATTTGCATATGGTGTTTATATTTCCGATTTGATTCAGCTAATGAAATACCCTGGAACAAGAACAATTTCTAAAACGAGTTAAGCTAAAACGAGTTAGCTATTGACAAATAATTTAATTGATACAAGGATGTCATAGATGTTTTCAGAGGTTCATATTCCAGTTTCCAATAGACTTTAAAGCTGTTTATTATATATAAAGATTTCACTAGTTAATGAGTCAAGACTTACATGAAAAAATATATGTTTGAGTTTATGCATTTTATAAAGAATATAAAAAAGCATTTCCAAACTTCCATCCAAAATAAATTAACACATGTATTATTAAGTATGGTTATCGTCGACGTATCAAGTTAAAATGTTGAATTTACTAGGTGTAGATGCATGTAAATGCAAAATTTACAACAATAACAAAAAAAAACTATTATCATAAGGTAAATTCTGCGTTTACCTCCGCCTAGTAAATTACAACATGCAGGATTTGATTGCCTATAACCCGATTAATACAAAGCTCTCAGAACAATTTAAATCTATATAGAGAATCTTACGAATGTAAAACTTTGTACATGGCTCATTTACTGTTCAGAACTGTTGGATTCTGTTCAAATAATTATAGTTTTGAATTTCTAATTTTAAGATATTTACTCGTTTATTTTAAATAAAAGGTTTAAGATGATATTTTGAGCTATGTCTGCTTGTCTAGCAGTTTTGACGATGACTCGTTTATTGTAACCACTGCGCTATAGTCTTCATTTTCTTGTGGAGTTCCATTTGGTTTCTTTTCAGGGATATCTGAAATGTACATTTTAATTCATTATGATATGATATGAGAGAGAGAGAGAGAGAGAGAGAGAGATTGCATTGTAATTATTTTAATTAAGTACATGAAACTGAGTCGGGCTGTGCAACTATTGTACCACTGTCTACAGTGTCAAGGTCATCTACAAAAGAAAGGAAACATTTTATGCACTCTAAAGGTTATAATTTTAAATGGCTAATTAATATTTAGTGATAAAATTTATATCTGTTTTGTTATTTTCTTAGTAAGATAAGAAATTAAGTTAATTCAACCAGCTACATTTAGATAATATATAATGCACATGTAATTTAAAAGACTGACGTTTTTCCCTAGATCTTAACTTATATGCAATAGACAATTTTGGTGAACAAAGCATTTTACTATAAAAGCTTTAAAAAACTACTTAGGGAAAATCTTAATTAGCACATGCATCATAAGTCATCACAACCGACAATTAACACATAGTGAATGTTGCTGAATTTAATGGACTAATATGATAAAACTAGTTAGTCAAACATATTCTTTAACTAAAGTTTTGAAAATTTTCAATTCAAATTGGTATAGGACAGTTACAAATTCAAATTGGTATAGCACAGTTACAAATTCAAATTGGTATAGGACAGTTACAAATTCAAACTGAAAACATCGAAAAAGAGATGACTGACTATAATAACATTTAAGGCGTACTTGATACCCAGTCTTTGGGCGTTCTATACCTGTACTCTTGTCGGGAGAATCTTCCTCGTCTTCGTTCTTGTCTGCGTTCGATTCACCTGAAAAATATACAAAACAAACTCTTTAGAAATTAGTGAATCGTTTAAATGATAGGAAATATTTGCGGTACATTAACAATGCATCCAGGAAGAAATGGTCATTGATTTGGTGTATAAACATGAATTATGATCATTACAAGGAACCTTTCTTTTTTTCTTCCCTTAAACAAATCTAAGGTAATCTCTAAAAAGAAACCTGTCAGGTTTGATAAGGTCCAAAACCTAATAAGATTTTTTTTCAAAATATTGCGATTTATTAACCGTAAACCTGGAAATGGTTAATCACTTTTTTTCTCATTTTTATCAAACATTAGGAGTTGTATAATTTTAAAATAAACGAATAAACCGATAGAGTATTATTCAATTCTTTATCATGTCGCTAGTTGTGTAAAAAAAAAAATAAGAATGTCACTCACCAACTTACCAAGAAACCAACGCGAAACATTCACTTAAATTAAGCATTGTAATTTTACGATATCTTTATCATTGTTATCTTAAAATTTACATCCTTGAGTTACATAATGCCATATCATTTTAGTCAAAAAATATGTGATGAATTCAACACAGAGGCAAAAAATTGAAATTTTGGCACCAAAAAAAAAATCAAAAACCCCAACTTACTGCTATTTCTCTTTTCTTTCGTGACTTCTTGATACTTTTTCAAATTCAACTTAAATTTCTCCAGTTCAGCTCGTAGACTGCTAGTCCGAGCAAGAATGTTCTCAGCCTCGTTTTCACTCACTACACAATCTGTGTCTGGATCTTGCTCTAACTTCTCTATTTGACAGTCCAGAAAAGCACTCTGTAATCGAACTTGACTACTGAGTTCCAACACGGATTTCTCAATGTCCTGCAGAGTTGGGATTAAGTATCCATCAGACGCCATTTTAGAATTTTGAGACCGTCTATCTTTATGTTCAGCATGTGTTTTATGATGTCCGAATTCATTTTCTTCCTGGCTTGTGGTTATGCCGTTTTAAGTTGCTCGACAATATAATCTTATGAATTTCCGGTTCCGTGTTTGAAGTTTATTTTATTTTCTATAAAGTACTAGAATGTACGAAGATTGGTACAAAACTCTTTTTCTATACAATAAAGTAAAGAAATTTTGAAACCATGTCCTATTAATTGTTAGGAAACATTTTGGTAAAACATGACCTTATGATGAGGTGTACTTGCAAATGAAATCATAATTACCTCTATAGAATTTGCAAAATTATGACTATGAGGAGATACTAGTGGTTGAAAAACCTGCAACAGCATCTAATGTGCCAAACACATGCCTGTTCAAAAGTTGATCTTATTCAAGATATACTCTTCATGAAATGGTGAAGATAAAGACCATTGGTCGATCTAAAAACTTTATAAAGAATACAAATCTGCAAAGGATGCATAAACATTACCAACTGTATATTCCAAGCGTGGGGTCAGGTGCCTAAGACGGCTAAGCATCCCCTTTCGACCGGTTACATCCGCCGTGACTCCGTTGTATGGATCATGTAGACGGAACATTCTGTTGTCAATTTCAGTATAAATGCAAGGCCAAAGATACGACCTAATTATATGTCAAATTGGCAAACAAGGTCATTGTAACGAGCATATAAGTTACGAAATGGTGACTTTTAACAAAGTTGTTAAGATCCCTGTCACATCAACTTTTCTGTGAGTAGCCTGCCTCATTTAAAGAACTCGTAGTCAGAGCTCGCTCTAGAGTATGGAATAAATTGGGAGACGTTAACATATGGAACGCCATCACTGCCTTATAGCATACAACTATGCATTTATTACGTCAATTTATCATTACGTGATGTGAACATATCTTTACGTTATGTCCATTTTTTATGGGATGATGAAAATATATCTTAACATCATGTCAATGCTGCATTTACATGAAGTAAATACATCCTTTCATTATGTCAGCACTTCATAACTTGAAGTAAAAAATTCACTATGTGAAGTGATAATGTGTTTACATTGTGTTAAAACTTTATTATGTGAAATGAATGTTTCTTTACATCATTTCATTTCTTTAATATGTGAGGTCAAAATTGCATTACGTCAAGTAAATTGTGTTTTATAATTAAACTTATCATCACATGAAGTCAAAAGCCCATTCCTTTTTGAGAGTGTATATTTCTACTGTATCAAAGTATTATTACGTGATATGGATTTATCTTTATTTTACGGCGAGGGCATCATGATGTGAGGTGAACACATCTTACCTTTATGTCAGTGCTTTATTACGTGGTGTAAAAAGTGTATAACATAATGTGAACATATCTTTATATTATATCAATACTTTATTACATCATGTCAAAACTCCATTGCTGATGTGGATATATTATAACGTTATGCCAACTCTTTCTTATGCCATACTTATAGCAGAACACTACTATTGCATTGTGCCAACCTTCCATTACATTATGTCAACTCTTTATGACATTAACCCACACTACTATTGCATTGTGTCAACCTTCCATTACATTATGTCAACTCTTTATGACATTAACCCACCCTACTATTGCATTGTGCCAACCTTCCATTACATTATGTCAACTCTTTATGACATTAACCCACACTACTATTGCATCGTGTTAACTTTCCTTTACATTATATCAATTGTTTATGACATTTACACATACTACAATTTTATTTCGTCAACTTGCATTTCGTTATGTTTACTTTTCATGACAATCTTAGTTTTTATTAACTGATGTGAAAAGCTCATGCCATACTGTGCGCACTCTTCTACATTATGTCGATTCACTATTACGTTATGCGAACGCGGGTATCCTCGGCCTTTATATGAGCATAACGTATTTTCCGCGTTCCGCAAGCACTAAAATGGCGGGAGAGAAAACTGTCGTAGAAGAGATTCTCAGCGATTTCGGAATGACATCTTTAAATGAAAACTTTAAGCGACAAATGATTGACAATCTTGAAACATGCAAAGCCTTAACACTGCGACTGTGAATTAAAGTCACGTCGAAATTCAATGGTGTTTACTTTAATCTGATAATTAAATAAATCAAATATTATGAGTCGTGCAGCAATCATTTTTTTCTTTTTATTTTGAATTGTTTTTTTTTTTTATAAAAGTCTTAAACTTTGTAGGACATTGCATTAGTTTCACATTAAGTTTAGTTGAATTAAGTTGAAAACTTTTTTCTATAAAACTATAAAGCCTGAGAGCTTCTCCGCTTTCCGCCCTTGGTCTCCAACCATATACCGTCCCCCTTCCTTGTTCAAGATTCCCATATCTGCCACTGATATGTGCCCATGCATGCTTACTAAGGCATATTCAATTGATTTAGATGAGCGACTGGTAGATTTTTGTAATAGAATTCTGGCCCTGGAATGATTAAAAAAAATTACTAACTCCAGTGACGTAGCATCATTTTTTGAAAGAGGAGGTCAGCCAGTAAAAAAAAACATTTATCCGAAAAAACTAGACAAGCCAAGAAAAAAAATGTCCAAGCCCGAAAATCCTATTTCGGGGAGAGTGGTTCAACTTCAATCAATCCTATTTTTTTCCAGATATATTATATTACCCTTAGTGGACTATATTTCAACAAGAAGTGGGGGTGGGGGGGGCTGAACGTTATATTTTCTATAGTAAAGTTTTGTCTGGGAAAAGAGGGGGGTTGATATTATGTGCCTGTAATTTGTCCTAATAAATCACGACCCCCCCCCCCCCCTTCTTACCAGTCATTAAAACACGGTCGTCAACATTTATTATATACTAGATATACAGCTTTGACATAATGTAAATGTATTTTTGCATCAGGTAATGAACTTGGAATCCACATGATAAAGAGTTAACACAATATAAAGATATTTTTAAATCACATAAGAAAGAGTTGGCATAACGTTATAATATATCCACATCACGGTATGGAGTTTTGACATAATGTAATAAAGTGTTGATATAATATAAAGATATGTTCACATTATGTTATACACTTTTTACACCACGTAATAAAGCACTGACATAAAGGTAAGATGTGTTCACCTCACATCATGATGCCCTCGCCGTAAAATAAAGATAAATCCATATCACGTAATAATACTTTGATATAATAGAAATATACACTCTCAAAAAGGAATGGGCTTTTGACTTCATGTGATGATAGGTTTAATTATAAAACACAATTTACTTGACGTAATGCAATTTTGACCTCACATATTAAAGAAATGAAATGATGTAAAGAAACATTCATTTCACGTAATAAAGTTTTAACACAATGTAAACACATTATCACTTCACATAATGAATTTTTTACTTCAAGTTATGAAGTGCTGACATAATGAAAGGATGTATTTACTTCATGTAATGAAGCAGTGACATGATGTTAAGATATATTTTCATCATCCCATAAAAAATGGACATAACGTAAAGATATGTTCACATCACGTAATGATAAAATGACGTAATAAATGCATAGTTGTATGCTATAAGGCAGTGATGGCGTTCCATACAAGATCGTATCTTTACATAGATCGTGCTCTAGATGCGACATATACGTAGACACTACGCTTTGATGGCATTCCTTGACAGTACAATCATTGATCAGACACTTTTTATTATATAAATCTTTCACACCAATAAGAGTTAATTAAACTCTTTGCAAAGAAAATAAATCTTAAAACATTTCTATTTTATAGCCCAAAGCAAATTCATGTACGAAGATCATCAATAAAATGTGGAATCAAAGATAAAAACGTCCATCTTTAATTGTAAGGCAAAGCCGAGGTTCTTAACATGTCTCAGACGAACCCTAAACAAAAGAAAGATCATTTATAAAACGTTGTATCAAAGATAAAAGATGATGCTATAAACATGTCTCTTTCACTTTGTTTACTCCAGAGGTCCAGTAATATTCAACCTACACCCAAAAGCAGAACCAATGGTAGCTTTTATGTGAAATATGCACTAAGAAGATTAGAAGGCTTATCGTACGGAATATCAAAAATATATCGGTCCACGGGGTATTTTTCTTAAATTGATTAAGTTAATTTATGCGACATTTAAATTTGATATTTTTTTCTTAATGATATTCAAGTAAATTGAAATCTTATTTTATTTCTCTACTTTAGTTTTAACATTTGATTATTCTCCCTCTTTCACAAAGATGGATTCCACATAAGCAAGAATTTTTATTCCAATAAGTTGATGCAAAAAGTCGTGTTGTTCTTTTAATATCAACGTTTAGTCTATGAAAAAGTATGCTTTTGACAAGATCAGGAATCATTTCTTGTCATTATTATTTTTTTAATTTGCAAACTACTTCTTTGTTAAGAAATATTATTTCTGAATTCCACATTCTTAATCTTTCCTAAAAGGCCCATAGGTAAAATTAACAAAAATAACCTAAAAAGATGTCACAAAACTTGCTCTATCTAATAAGAATTTTAAGGAAAAATACGAATAAAGGAGATACATGTGGTTTTCTTCAAATTTAGGTCCTTAATAATATAATACCACGGCTTCGTGTTTTGCAGCAATCAAACCTTTTAATACTTACAAGACAACCTGTGTAGCCGATCCGACTGTGCTTCTGTTGATAGATTATTAAGATAAAAACGTAGACCAAGGTCTAAAGGCATTGGCTCATTCTTTCAGATAACTCTGTCTATATGAAATCATTTTGGAGATCCATGTATGTATTAGTTAGCAAAGAAATGAAAGCACTTACTGCAAACGTTAAAAAATCGATTCCACAATTGCAAAAAGCTTTATAATTTTCATCAATCAATTTCAAAGAAACTATAAATGTACCTTTACAATTGATTGAAACTCAGTATATTGCTACGAAATTCTACTTCAATGCTTTGTTTATTAAAATGGATTAAAATGGATTTCTTGTCAAATTTCTTTTCAAGAGATATTTCAAGTAACATTAAGAAAATCTTTTCTTTGCGTTTTTCTTCCCAAGTTCCGCTTAAGGATTAACGAATTTTGTGCAAGAACAAAAAAATCGGTTGTTAAAGAAAAAGAACTGTGTCGATTATCAGAAGTTTAAATAATAATTGTTGTTAA